GTGGGACTTCTGGGAAGAGAGAGAGAAAGCTGGGAAGAAGTAAGGTTGGATTGACAGTCAGACAAGGAGTGTTGGAAGCCAGCCAACCTGTTCAAATATGCCTGAAAGGGGGAGTGAGGATTGAGGAAAGAAATAGACAAGAGACAGAAAATAGAGTCAGGAGGGCATCCAGTGAATATTGTATCCCCTCAAATCCATTTCTCAAAGCACTTATACACCCCAAGCAAAAGGGAGGGCAAAAAACTTTCTTACTATGGTACAAGGAACAAACACATATAATTACTTCCTTAATTCTCAAAGCATCCAGTAACCACAGCTTAGATCAAACATCCAGCTATCTGGCCTTGAGGATCAAGGATAGGTTTGAACTCTCTGACATTAAGTCAAGATGAAATGGAGTCAAATCTGTGGGCTTTTGGAGTCAAATCTGTGGGCTTTCACAAGGAGGAAGCAGGATGTACAGAGTAAAGGTTACCTAGCCATGTAAAAGAATGCAGATTAAAAGATATGGGTTGTTTTAAACTATAACAACTAGTTAGGAGCAAGCCTAAGCTAAGACTGAGCTTTTGTAATTAATAATAAGTCTCTGTGACATTATTTGGAACTGCTGATAGAAAAGGAAGTCCATCTACAGAAAGGAGAGCAAGAGCCCCCCAGAAATGCCACCTGGGCCCTTGTCTCCCACAAATCAGGGCTGGCCTTTCACAGTGAATAAAAGGGCATACTGCTCCACACAGTAGACAAGAACACATGTTATTTGGGGCTTAAAATACAAATTGTGTACAGAAACAGCTTAGGCTAACGTGTGGACTGTGAGACTTGTTCAGATAACCACTTCAGTGGACGACACATGGAAGCCTGTAATGGTAAACCGAGGAAAGACAGAATGTCTCAGGGTCTGTTCTAGACCTTGTACAGCTGGTGCTTTTTTGGGTAATATTCTTTCCACACACCATCCCATAATTACACTTTTATGCTGGGGTGGCAGTCTGGGAAGGACATAGGCTAGCATACACTCTTCCAGGTATGGATACAATGGCAATAGCTTACCTTTCTTCTTCAGCAAAATATTCCCAGGGCAACAAGGAATAGCACCAATTTAACACACTTCCTTGTGGAGGAAAAGCAACATAGTCACCCATGCTGAGGATGTGAATCATCACCACCATCACAGAATGTGATATACAGAGGTTTGTGTGGTCCAGTATTCCCACTTCTGGATATAGAGCAGAAGGAAATGGAAACTACTTATCAAAGTGATGCCTGACCTTGTTTACTGTAGCACCATCCCTATAATCAATAAAGAGTTTACAAAATGCAATATGCATGTGTGTATGCATACACATATATATATACATACATACACATAATCTATAAATAAAAATATGTGTGTGCATGAATACATATGTGTATGTACAATATATATGGGATATTTATTCCATCCTAAAACAGAATGGAATCCTATCATTTGTGATAACAGACGGAACTGGAGAACATTAAGTGAAATAAGGCAAACACAGCATGGAAGATTTTACATGTTCTTTCACATATGCAAGCTAAATATGAATCAGAAAGCAGAGTGGTAATGACTATAAGGTAGGAATCAGAGAACGCAGGCATGGGGGAGGATCAAGTAACAGGAACCATAATACAGCAGCATACACTTAATCTTTATTTGACAAAGAACTATAAATGAGGATTTGAATACTCCCAACAAGAAGAAATCATAAATGTTTAGGAAAAATGGAAGTGTTAGTTGACTTGACTTGATCATTCCACATGTACATGCGTTGAATTATCACACAATAAGTACACACATGAAGCCTGTAAATATGTTCAGCTATTAACATGTGTCAGTTAAGGGATGCAATCAATGAAACACACAGTGTTGTGACTGGCAGTGCCAGAATGTGGGCTTGTTTCAGGCTGGCTCCAGACTTCGTTTGTCATAACGCAGGTGACATAGTGACAAACATTATTCTCGTTACATTACGCTGAGACAAGGGAATACCATACACTTCGTTAGGTATTATAGTTGTAAACTTACAACTTCATATTGAAGCTGAAATACTATTGCTGAAATTCTGGAAAGAAAACTCCTATAACTTTATTCTCTTGTGGAAAAATGAGATCTGAGAGTTAGCAAACATGCCCTTAAGAGGAGAATTCCTGCAAGGCACTAGCTCTGCAAAGCACTGGCAACCTTGGCTTCGATTAGCAGTGGATGTAACCAGCAGCTGCAGAAGTGGTTCCTCACTGGGAAATGGCAGGGTGTGGTTGTGTATGTGGCCACTTCATAGAAAGGGGTATTTCCAAAATGAAAAGCTGTGGGTGACCTTCCAAGGTCATAGTTCATGATGTTCAGAAGGGCAGTAACACTTAAAGACCATGGGGATGCTGATAGAAGAGGCCTGCTTTAAACACCCCGAGAAAGCACATACATTCCAACGCCAGCAGCTCGCTCCAGCTAAGAACTTTCCCTGCCAAGAGCTTCTCCGTAGGTTGAATATGATCCCTCAAGGTATACATCTTTGCTTTTGTTTATTTATTTTTTAGTTTCTTCTCCTGGTAGACAAACAAGTTGGTCATGGAGAAGAATAAGCCCAAGGAAAGCAGCTTGCCCCGAGTTGGTGAATTCACTTGGAAACCTACCGTGCTATATCCATTTCCCCCCAGGTCTGAAGAACAGCAATTAAATCCCTTTCCTGGCAGAGAGAGGGCACAGGAAGGAGGCAGCTGGTTTACCTGAGTGTGAATAACTAAAATTCCTTCAATCTCAAGGTGCAGTTTGTCAGGGAATGCTTGCTAGTGCCAACAGCAACACCGCCATCACCACCACCACCCCTCTCCACAAGTAGCAAATAAGGAGAGGGGGGGAGCAAGAATTTAAGTCTATAAAAAACGCCAAGCTGCATGGAGCTTTGCTGGCCCTTAAGCAGGGCAAGGAGGAGGTCTCTCTCGGCCAGGTAATGACTGTGTGGGTCCCATAAGGAGATGGTTAAGTCAAACTGAGATGACTGCGTTTAGGAGGGGGAAAATATGTCAATCACACTTTGCCTTTGACACAAGGAAATTCCTTGAAACTGAGAATGGAGAGTGGAAGGGAGGGAGAATGTCTCCTCACGTGGGTGGCCAGGAAACCAGGGGCCGGGGAAAGCATGAGAGGAGAGAGGGAAAAAGAGACGCGGTGGGGGGGGGGGCGGGGGGGGCAGAAGATTGAATTCTAATCAAAATGCTATGAAGCGTTCACACCAGGCCTTGGGAGAATATTAACAAGGTTATGGGGGGGGGGACTTTAGCCCCAGGAATTATTAGTGACTATGGAATTATATTTGCACAAACACTACCAGATGCAAGGAGCTAAATGTCCTACAGATGTGGTAGGGGCCAGCGTGTGCTCCAAATAGGCGGCAGCTTTATTTGTTTTACTGGTCTTCCAGCGCCGGGGCAGCACGTTTCTGAGGGGTTACATTTCTGGAATGACCACCACACCGTGAACCCCAGTTTCCCAAATTCTGCCTTCATCAGGCTCCATGGTGCCTTGGCCCCGGATGGTGGGGGGTAGCCCTGAGGCAGGTTTGACTAGCTCACCAACTTACTCTCCTGTCTCCTTCGTAGAGGGGGAGGGGAGAGACAGGCGAACTTTCCCAGAAGGGATTTCCTGGAAGATGAAAGAGATCAGAGCTAGGTAAATCACAACCACTTCAGAGAGAGGTTGGGATAACAAATAGAACCGGCAAACAAAGGAGGCAACGCGCTTCCTTATCCTATGAAGCATCCTACCATCCAGTCAGTTTAATTTCAATTTGTCCCTGCTGGGAAGGACAGACATCATTTCTAACTTTGGCAAGACACTAATTTCAGAGAGTGTCCTGAGAACGGGCCCCCAAATGCCCCCAGTAGTCACTTTGAGCATCAGTTATGAGGCTATCGGATTGTTTTGCGGTGAGATGCTTCAGTAGGTAAAATTGCTTCCCGCCAAATCTGAGTCTGATTCCTGAGACGGACACAATGAAAGGAGAGAGCTGGCTCCTGTGAGTTGTCCTCTGACCCCCACCTATGCACCACAGCTTGAGTGTGCACGCACACACAAATAAGCTAAATACAATAAAAATTTTAAAGATGTGACTCTAGTGAGAAAAGTTTGAGAACGCTGATATGACGTGGAGAAGCAGGGTGTCTTGAAGCTAGCCTCGGGAATCCTCACAGGGCCTCTGTCGATGCTGGCTATATCCCTTCATGGTAATATGTTTTTATACAGTTTATCAAGTTAAAGTGCTTAATGCCAACTAGTTAATATTGCTCTGAATTCCCTGTCACATTTTCCTGCAGATAGGGTGGTTTGCAGGTGGGTTGAGGACACGTTCAGCTTGAGCAGAGTGGAACGCATTATGTGGGTCATGGAACTTTGCTGTTGAGTTGATTGCTAGCTCATACTTACATGAATGGATTCCAGAAGCCCTCTTATTGGCTGCTCACCCAGTGATCTGCATAGCCAAGGTGTGTCAATCTGGAACATGAGCTCATCCTCTAATGCCCAGCTCTGGAATTAGGATGATGGTGGAGGAGAGACAAGACTTGACCTGCAAAGCCAGCAGCTGGCATGGAAAAGTTGTCTAGACCACGTGACTCTTGGAGTTCTCAAGGTTCTGAGAAAAGCATTTTCAATCTGATCTAAATTTGCATGAGTGGCCCTGCAAGTGATGAGATTATGCGCCGAGAAAGTTTCCTAAGCTATCAGCAATAAAAAGCAAGTTTGGTTAAACACACTGAAGAGGAGAGTTGGGATGTCCCTATTCTGCTTGTCCGATATGTCACTTTAAAACAGTTCTCGTCTGTCAGCTGAGAGAATCTTCAGTGTGGCTGCCATCTGCTCGTGACAGACAGCCACTAAAGCATCGCGCTGTTTGCCTGGACTTGCAAATGTTTGTACTGTTTGTCAGCTTCTTCCATATTAACAATGAGCAATTCTCAATTTTTTATTTCTTTTCTATTTTAGCATATATAGGATAACTGAGTGGCATCTACAGGTACTGTGCTGACCTGGGCTGTCAAAGTCTCTCCAGTTCCTTTGGCATGCATTGGAGATCCCTAGCCCTTGGAAGCATGCTGACGACTTCTCTTCCTTACTAAACACTTACTCAGCTCCCTCGTATTAATGTCCGAATTGTGCATTGTTTATCTAAAGAAGACTCCCAGAGTTGAATGAGTCTCAAACCCACATCCTCTGGATTTGCCCTGGTGCCATGTGTCCACTTCCCAGACACTCTTACTTTCATCTTTAGGTGATAAGGCAGGCTCTGGTCATACCACCTGACTTGAGACTTTCAGCCACAAAGTTCTACACAGATTTGAACCAAGGTCTGCCTTACGCTGGAGGAAGGCGATTATCCTAACCCTCACTCATTCCCCACCCCACCCAAGAGCATGCTGAACCTTGAGGATCTTTCTGTGCTTTAATTAAGATCCAATGACTTCACTGACACCACCCCCACTGTACGCATGTGCCCCTTTCCTGCCTCACAATTGATAGATTTTTTTGGGGGGGGAAGGGGGTTGGTTGAAACAGTGTAACAGCCCTGGCTGTCCTAGAACTTTCTTTGCAGACCAGGCTAACTTCAACCTCACAGAGATCCTCCTGCCTCTGCCTTCTGAGAGCTGGGATTAAAAGCGTGACTCACCACACCAGGGCCAGTTGATAGATTGTAAAGTTCTCAAGGTCAGAGTTCTCTTCGTTTTCTCTGATACATGTTCTTGCGGGGTCTCTGGAAAATCCACCATCTTGTAATACTTTCAGGTGTTTACAGCCCGTCGACAGAAATAGGAAAGCTACTTCAAAGGACCTGGGTTGAAGGAATTTTGAACTACAGGGATTTAGGTATCTTTTAACTGAACTTCAAAAGACACTTTCTCCAGGAAGCCGCTAGATGAATGATAGGCTCACCAACCTCCGTGCAATTCTCTCATAGTTAGTCCCCTGTTTACTCACACCTACAAGGAATGTTTGCTCATCGGCTCATTCTTCTGAGAAGATAGGATGAGCAAGCAATGCCTTATAATCTTTTCTATAATTTTGCTGTTTAAATGCACATTTAGATTTATATTAGCTTTTTTTTTTTAAGATTTTATTTATTTATTTGTATACAGTGTTTTGTCTGTATGCTTGCTAGCCAGAAGAGGGCACCAGATCTTATTACAGATGGCTGTGAGCCACCATGTGGTTGCTGGGAATTGAACTCAGGACCTCTGGAAGAGCAGTCAGTGCTCTTAACCTCTGAGCCATCTTTCCAGCCCCGCACATTTAGATTTAAACATTGTGAGGACACAGCAGAATTTCCAACCAGATGTCTGAAATGAGGCGAGGTTTTTGTTTGTTTGTTTTTTTGCTATAATGCAACTCAGCATCTATCACATTTCCTTAAAAATAAAAAGAAATCAATCAACTTTGTATCAAAACAGAACACCTCATGTCAGCGTGGGACAGAAATCCTCAGGCCTCCTGACCTGGCTCCCCAGATTCTTGTGTGTGGCTTTGGCTCCTTAGGTGGGACAGCAGTGGATGGTTCTGTTCCAAAGTCTGTAGCTGTAAAATTAGATGGTGTTATTTCTTGCCCATTGCAAAAGTCCCATGAGCCCTGAGAGTTAAATGATTAATGACCAAAAGCTCCTACACAAACATGAATACTTAATAAAAATAACCCCTCTTTGCCCCAGTGATAGGCACCAATGACCTGATGCTAAGCCTTGATCCAGTCTTGAGGCAGCCAAGATGAACCTTTCCCCTGCTGCAGACAATCTGGGCTGGTGTTCTTTTTCTTCCTCTATCAAGTTCCCTGCTCCCGCTTGCAGGCTCAGACTTTACCCCCAGTCATGTGAAATCGGCTCTCTGTTTATGGAGGTCTCACACAAGGGACAGCTCCAGTGCGGGCCATCGTGGGGTCAGTATAATTTTATCATCTTTTTTTACAAAGAACATGCCTGCTTGACCCATACCACAAAATTATTAGGAAGGTTTGTGAGATCAAAACTTTTTATCAAATTTCATTCAGTTTAGACCTTCCCTGTGCAGCTGTGGAGAGCCTCTAGGGTGAGCGTGTTTCTCTTTGCATTGCTGGAACTGGAGTGTGCTTGGACAGAAATTCATAAGAAAATAAGTTCAGGCAAATTCTGAGTTTACTGTTCTTTGCTGACTAAAAATAAAACTCATCTTTCTCCTCAGGTAGAAATACAGTCGTGTGGAATGTCTGAGCTCCAATCTGATCCCTGAGCAAATTCAAAACACCCCGGTGGATTATCAGCCAACGTGGACATACATTCAACAGTCTTGTCCCAGATGACTTTCCTTGTCTTCTCTTTAAGCAGACAAACAATTAAGGAAGCCCCTGCAGGAGAATAGCATCACAAAGCTTCCTGTGTTCCATACTATCGTTGTGTGCATAGCTGGCCAGGTTTCACAACCCAAAGCAAAGCAAGATGAGGTACATGAGACTCTTCCTTAAGCAGATTGATCTGAAATCCTGAGAGAACAAGCTAACAGCTCTAGGATCTGAAGCATCTTGTTTGGTTTCCCTCCGTTCATCTCCTTCTATGCAAAAAGGGACAACGTCACAGAAAGACAGAGCAGAAGTAATGTTATTAGCAGCCACTGCACACTTAGAGGGCCAAATTCAGACTTTAGGATCTGGGTGAGCAGGACCAGGAGTTTGGTGAGTTTTGTTCTATCATAGAAGAAAAAGTGAAGAATTGATGTGGGAGTGTCTTCTATATATCTGTTGCTTTCAATGGTTAATTAATAAAGAAAACTGCTTGGCCTAATAGGGCAGAATTTAGATAGGCAGAGTAGACCGAACAGAATGCTAGGAAGAAGGGAAGTGAGGCAGATGCTACATTCATTATTAGAAATGGTTAATTAAGATGTGAGAGTTAGCCAGTATGAGACTAGAGCTAATGGGCCAAGAGGTGTTTAAAAGATTACAGCTTCCATGTAATTATTTCGGGTAAAGCTAGCAAGGCGGCAGAACACAGCCTGCCGCTCCTCATCACTACAAAGAATAACTGACACAGAGCAAAACCTGCCCTCAGAGGATCCAAAGCAAATGTCTGTCCTTATATGTTCTCTGATTTTTTCCATGTACATTATCAATCATCTATAGAAATTGTACATGTCCCTCAGGTGGGGAGTACAACTCAGCAGTATGACCTATACTTGGCATGAATGAGGTTCTGGTTTCAAGTTCTCAAACTAAAACTCAGAATAAAACAAAAATAGTTGGTCAAGTTTTTCAGTTACACAAGCTGACTGTAATCACAACTACATAACACATTGTGCAAAACATTGTGTATTATAAAATCACAGCTTAAAACAAAAGAGGGAGGTAAGGCGTATTCAATTCTGTAGCTAGAGCAATGAACATCACCATTAATCATTATCTGGGAAGTAATTTGAAAGCCTAGGAAAGAGCATCTCCTGGGCTTTGCCTTGGACAATATTTTTTAAATGCTTAAAAACCATCTATCTCATGAGACTTCTACTCCTGATGCTGGTGGAATAAGGGGACTAGATTTGCCTTCCCATGTAAAGCCCTGGATAAATACATGTAATACTACCTTTCTTGACATTGGGAATAATTGGTAGAGAATGGTATTCTCTATAGAAACAAGGTAGGTGACCCCCACGGTTGCACCAAGATACACAATGAGGAAGGCAAGGTAGAGTCCCAGTGGTTTTTCTGGGAGGAGGCACTGGAGTCCAGTGAAGCCAATGTGGTCAAAGTTTTCAGAACAAAGAGCCCCAGGAGAAAGAGAGATGGTCAGTGAGAGTTTCTCAGATTTGTAGTCTCTTGCAAGATTTCAGCTAAGAAGTGCTCAAATGGAGTTAACTACCTTGAAAAGCAATAAACTCTGATGTCCCAGGATGCACAGAGGGCCAGGACAGTGATTGTTTCCATCATCCTGAATTGAAAATCTTATACCTCTTGGGGCTGAGGTTAGTAATGAGAACATTCTAGTCTCAGAAGTGGGGAGGCATTAAAACTGAGCTAAATATTGTCCTGATCCTACTGAGCAAAGACTAAATCAGGATCAGCACCATCAGTTTGCTTCTTCCTACTTGGCCCTACTCAGGAACAGTGTCTAGCACCTTTTAAGACAAAGAACTGAAGTTGGCCACCTAGGGGAAAATGACCAAAAACACGAAGAATTGATTTTTAAAACGTGAACATGAAAATAAACCCTGTTCAAAATTAAAATGATTCAAATTCTTACATTAATAAGGAAGGTTAATAGAAATGTGTGTGGTAACTGCATTCCAAGTGTTCAGAATGTGAGAAAGGGGCTGAGAAAGAGCTCACAGCAGAGTATCTGCCAGGCTCTGCCAGGCTCCATCACATTCAGGAAGAAGGGTGGAGGCTCCACAAGCCTTCAACTTCCACAATAGCACGGCCATCAGTGTCCTTGTAGTTTAGAACTGGCTAACACAATCAAGCTGATGAGACTTCATGGGTGTAGCTTCTGACATTTCTAGGAGACACAGTCTCCCAGCAAACTTCCAATTTCTCTGGCTCTTGCCATCTTTCACCTCTATTATTAATTTCACGAAAATTAGTACTATTATTTACAAATATTTTACAAAATTAATGCTAATTTAATAAATAAATTATTATTTAAACAACAGGTACATACACTAGAGATACATTTGATATATTATGCAAAGATAATGAAAATGTTTCTACAAAATGCATTTCTAGCTAGGCACCCATGGACCACACCTGTATTTCCAACACTCAGAAAAGGGAAAGAATGATCCTGAGACAAGGTAGCTTGGGCTCTATTGAAAAACCCTATTTTAAGCCCACACCTGAAACGGTATCTAAATATGGAAGGAAAAGCATCAGAGATGTAAAATCCACTAGATGAGATTCACACTAGCTTAGGCACCAAAGGCAAAATGGTATGTGACTTTGAAGACACAGAAATAGAAGCCGTTCGCTGTGAAACACAGAACCAAAGGCACCAAGAGAAAGAGTGAATACTGGACCACAGGACAGCCTCAGATAGACCAGTAAATGTGTGATGAAAGGAGGTAAGGCAAGGTAGGACACAAAATATTGAGG